AGCGCGCCTGGTCTGCTAAGCGCGCGGCAGACCTCGGGGCACCACCGAGGTGCGGACCAACCAGTATTCGCTGGAGCCCGTCAGCGCGATGTCCAAACCGCAGTGGACACGCCACGGCACCTCCGGGAATGTTCGCACCTCGAGATTTTGCACGTAGTCCGATCTGACCAGATAGGAGTCGATCAGCGAGCCCTTGCCCTTCGAGCACGCAACCGCGGTGTGCAACCACTGTTGGTATAAAAAACGCCCATCCCAAGATGTGGCGTCGACGGGGCCACCCCCCGGGCCCCACATTTCAAGGCTGTCCCCGCAGCCGCTGTAGGAGTGCAGATTTCGGCGCAATGAACCCCCATAACTCAACACTGCAGACACCCGTTTTCAACATTGAAATCGGGGGACGCGGGGGTTCTCAACGCATGGGCGTGGGCTTCTCCGTCTGGTGGGCGTTTGTAAGCCAACGGCGGCAGGCCTCCTCGCAACGCGCGGCCCGCACCGCCCCACGAAGCGCGGGCACGCAACTTGACAACATGGCAGGAGTGATGCGACCCTGCGAGTAAGAATTGCCAGGGGGTCGAAGTGCCCTAATGGGAAGTTGGTATCACATCTGCAAATGCGTATACATCCATATGTAGACTTAGATACACACACACACGTACACTTATATTCAATTGTAGAGAGTGCTCTTGGTTCGTCGCCGTCGAGATCACCAGGCCGCAGCCAGCGACCCAGATGAGAAGTACAAATTTCCCCACCCGGCAGTCTTGTGTCGCGAGATTTTCGAAACAGACCTCCCGGCCGGCCCGCCCTACATACCGCGGCCGCCAGATGCCCAGGCTCCCGATGCCAGATCTCCAGGCCCCCGATAATCCCTGGCAGCTGGGGTCCTCCCCCCCCAACCCCCGCCCTGCATACCGCGGCCGCCAGATCCCCAGGCTCCCGATAATCCCTGGTGGTCCCGCCCCCCGCGCCGACTCGCCCAATCTGCATACTGCGGCCGCCATATCTCCAGGTCCCCCGATAATCCCTGAGGGTCCCGCCCCCCGCGCCGACTCGCCCACTCTGCATACCCTGGCCGCCAGATCCTCAGGTCCCCCACAGAACAGAGCATAACACCACACCACGAACACAACATATCCGAGCTTACCATTCCGTATAATGACAGACCATCTCGTAACATAACACACCATGGCAGAGCAGAGCATAGCATAACACAGCACCACAGCGCATCCCATCCCATAACATGACACATCGAGCAAATGAACGCAGAACAGAACATGCCAAAACATAACATGCCATATCGTTGCATAACATGGCATGTCATACCATAGCACAAAGCAGCACAACAACGCATGCTATGCCAAATCGGATCATCCATGACATACCATAGCAAAGCAGAGCATACCATGGCACCACAGAGCATCACACAATATATCATGACATAACAAACCACATCATAACACATCATCGCAGCACGTATCATCTCATACCATGGCAGCTCATAACTTGTCATTGCGTGACACAATATGATATAGCATATCTGTGCATAACATAGACACAACATACCAGAGCATAATATAACACACCATGACACAACAGTTCGTATCATAACATACGCTGACGGTTTCGGTGGGGATCACTCGAAGCAGCATATTTCCCTATATCCTAAGATGGGGTTCTTGTTATTCTTGGACGCCTCCTACTGCCTCTCCCTCCTTCTCTTTCCTCCTCCCCTCCTCCTCTTTCCTCATACTCAGACCTACTCATACTCAGACTTACTCATACTCAGACTTCCTCATACTCAGACCTACTCATACTCAGACTTACTCACACTCAGACATACTCATACACAGACTTACTCATACACCGACTTACTCACACCCAGACGTACTCATACACAGACTTATTCATACCCAGACTTACTCATACACAGTATTACTCATACTCGGACTTACTCATACCCAGACGTACACATACACAGACTTTATCATACACAGACCTACTCATACCCAGACTTACTCATACACAGACTTACTCATACACAGACTTACTCATACTCAGGCATACTCATACTCAGACCTACTCATACTCAGACTTACTCAACACACATCAGATTTGGAGGATGTCTCCAGCGGGGCGCTGGTTTCAGCACCCCTAAGGGGAGCCGCCAGGGGTGTTTGCACGGGCTCGTTCGCGGCCATTTTGTGGGGATGTCTCAGGCGGTTTGCTTGTTTCTGGGCTCAATATCCTTCGCTCGGAGAGCAGATTGTGAGGATGTCTCAGGCGGGGCGCTGGTTTCAGCACCCCTAAGGGGAGCCGCCAGGGGTGTTTGCACGGGCTCGTTCGCGGCCATTTTGTGGGGATGTCTCAGGCGGTTTGCTTGTTTCTGGGCCTAACATCCTTCGCTTGGAGAGCAGATTGTGAGGATGTCTCAGGCGGGGCGCTGGTTTCAGCACCCCTAAGGGGAGCCGCCAGGGGTGGTTGCACGGGCTCGTTCGCGGCCATTTTGTGGTGATGTCTCAGGCGGTTTGTTTGTTTCTGGGCTCAACATCCTTCGCTTGGAGAGCAGATTGTGAGGATGTCTCAGGCGGGGCGCTGGTTTCAGCACCCCGAAGGGGAGCCGCCAGAGGTGTTTGCACGGGCTCGTTCGCGGCCATTTTGTGGGGATGTCTCAGGCGGTTTGCTTGTTTCTGGGCTCAACATCCTTCGCTTGGAGAGCAGATTGTGTGGATGTCTCAGGCGGGGCGCTGGTTTCAGCACCCCTAAGGGGAGCCGCCAGGGGTGGTTGCACGGGTTCGTTCGCGGCCATTTTGTGGGGATGTCTCAGGCGGTTTGCTTGTTTCTGGGCTCAACTTCCTTCGCTTGGAGAGCAGATTGTGAGGATGTCTCAGGCGGGGCGCTGGTTTCAGCACCCCTAAGGGGAGCCGCCAGGGGTGTTTGCACGGGCTCGTTCGCGGTCAGTTTGTCGGGATGTCTCAGGCGGTTTGCTCGTTTTCATGCCCAACATCGCTGGCGGGGCTGCGCCTCCAAAAGTGGTGAAACGTGCCCTGGGGAACCAGGGTTGAGGAGGAAGAGGGGGAGGAAGAGGAGAAGGAGGAGGAGGAGGAGGAGGACTGGGGGAGGAAGCAAGGGGATTAGGACGATGAGGTGAAGGATGACGACAAGGATGAGGAGGATGATGTCTAAGAGATTGAGGACGAAGGGGAAGGCCTGGCAGCTGAGGAGGGGGGATGAAGAGGAAGAGGCTCGCATTCAACCATACTCAAAGCTCACTCTGACTCATACGCAATCACTCGCATTAGGGGTCACTCGTCTTCGTCGGCCCTGTCGCCCACGTGGACGCGCGATTGTAGTCGACCGCTCATGAACAGACGCTCACCACGGCATGACATAAAACATGAGATGCACATATGGGGAGCTCCACGCAGTGAGTAATTGTTTAAATCGTCCCTGCCCGATTTGTTTTGAAGTCGCACTGGGGGAAGGAGCTCTGCGACTTGGAGGTCGGGGAAGGC